ACTTACACCCAGCCGGAGGATTGGATATGTTTCCTTGACTATCAATATTATCCTCTACCATTTTGCTTTGATGTGTTTTCTTTGTCATCTCAGCTCTTTCCTAGCTGTATCTGCGCTAAAATGCATGCCACTCTCATATTATCTCAGCTCTTTCCTAACTGATACCTCCACTACGAAGGCGCGAATTGGCCATGTGTTTCACTTTCTATAACTTTTCATGAACGGCTGGTTTGCAATCTACCCCATACCTGCTGCTGGGTTCTTGTCACTTCTTGGCAATGAGAATACTATTGCAGGTCTATCTTCTGTCAAATATTGACAGAATTCTCATCAGTTGGATACACCTCTGCCAAACCATGATCATGCTAAAAGGAACTCATCGCTGCGGGCCTTTTATGCGGCTTTGTAGTACAACAACAGTAAGATCTGATGAGCTGCAGCAGCTGCATATGTATGCAAGATTGGGGAATCCCCCCCTGCTCTGTTTGGCTTTCCCTAATTGTTTCCTCTACCTGCTGGTATCCTGCACTATCTGTCATGAATTTGAGACTTAGCACATTTCAGATTCCAGTAATGTACACCATCACAGCTGATAGGAGAAACCAATGTCAGGTTTTCTGGATAATGAACCCTCAGCTCTGAAACTGAAAGAGTCTGGGATAGCTTTCCTTTCCTTTTATACTGTAGATTAACGGCTTAAACAGAAGTTTGAAATGAGACTTACACGTGGTGATGTTGGGTTGGCCATAAACCTACTAAACACTGTTTAAGCCAACGATTCATCTGAGTGTCCCCAAAACGTCATCGTCTCATGCTTAACGCATCGGAATTGTTTTAAGTCAAAAAGAAAATTCAAGAAACGTTTCAGAATCCCAGTAAGAAGAAACTTCTCTGCAACAGAATGTTCTTCTTCCGCTCTGTAAATCCTTGTTGAGCACGGACTGAAACACTGATTCATTTTTTCTATTAGTCAACAAGAGCAGAATCTCATCTTCCATGTATACTAACCCAAGAGAGTAATGATTGTCCTTACTACTCCAAGAATTTGATATTAATAGGAGAGGAAACACAACATCCAGATACAACAAATTAAACCCTACTTTATTGCAACAGGAATTGACTGAAAAAAATCTAAAATGTGACGGATTATTAGCTTCAACACCGGTCTTTTAACATTTAAATTCTAACACAGGAAAAGATGTTGATGGATACCTGCATTCCACATCCATTATATATTTTTTGAACTATTGTGTTATGTTTTGTTGTGTTTTGGAATATCTGAATATTTTATAAGGAATTTTGGGTTTTTATTACGAATAGTTCAAGAAAATTTTAGATTTCATTAAACAATAACAAAAAAGTAATATTGCCTGCCCACCCCACGCCAAGAGCGAATCAAGTAAAGTAATATTCGTGTGGGTACGTGTGTCAGGATAGGTTGATCCATTCTTATATATTTTATGAAGAAAATATTTATTTTTCATAAATGAAAAATAGAGATAATAGTTAGATTACTGTAGTACAAATAATTGAAAATGAAGACTTGCACTTATCTAAAGAATCATAGGGTAAAATATGGGTTAAGATAAACGAAAATAATATAAATAAAAATAGATATTGAAACGACCGAGATAGAACAGTTCAAAATAGTATTATAGTCGTTTTAAACTACTACGAATTGAGTATTACCACCCAACATAACTCAAAATCAGATAATATCATACGATACGGGTTCACAAGAACAACATCACCATTTGTCTCAGTAGCAAAATAAGGACATCCTCCTCGTTACTATCTGTACACTCAGAGTGATTTCTCCTGATTGTTTATTATTGACTAAATACATGTCGAATAGGATCCACATATACTTCAAATCACATATACTTCAAATCATCACAATATTCTTATTATACGTTATAGGGTCGGAAAAGTAGACCATACTGTTAGAAAAGCCATGATCTAAACCGGATCGTAGACCGTTAAGTATGATATGGTCTGGTTCATGGTCTTTATTATTTGATGTTCTTATCTCTTGGTCTGGTCTGGTACCGCGGTTTACTGGACCAAACCGTGGACCCAAACGACTTTTCAATGCGTGTTAACAGCCCATTCGACCACTCTCCCAACTCCCACAATGACACCCAATTCTCAACCTTAATTTTGAGAATCTCGACCCCTCCTTCATTCACAACCACATTTCACTAGAGTAGAGATATTCGTGTCTTCATATGAAATTATGTTTATGACGTTATGGTACAAGTTGTGATGCTTTTACTTTGTATCTTTGTTATGTACTAAGATTGTCAAAATGATTCATGCATGTTAGAATTAATGTTTTAAGGCAACAACTAATTTTTTTCTTGGTTATTGGTTCAACTTTTTTGTGTGGTGGACTAAATAAATTGTTCATTTTTCGTTGAATGTGATATATTTGAACCAGACCGTACCAGACCAGACCGCACCGTTTCCCATGACCCAACTTTTAGAAAGGGTTTCATAATACAAACTCAATTTTTGAAAAAGATGAACACATATTATAATGAGTTTGAGAGAATAGCTGTTTTAAATATATAAGATTATACTTAACTATTTATTATTTTTTTTATTAAGAGAACATTTTTTGTATATTGACTACTTTTTTTCACTATTTTTTAATATAAATGGTATCCATTTCAGATATTTATAATTTATTCATATAAGAAATCATTTTTAGTCATTTTACATAATTTCTTATCTTGGCTCATCTTATACAAATTGACCAAGCTTGAAAACAATACATCATTCCTTTGCATCTGGGGTGCCTGAGTGAGGGAGTCTCTCAATAATCACAAAAACAAAACTGCAACTAACACTTTACTCGATTAGAAACAACCTACAGCTCTGCTTTTGTAGAAGTAGTTTAGGCAGAATATAGCACAGGCAGCTGAGCATTCTCAGCATTTACAGAACCTGCTGCGCACAGTTTTGATACAAGAAAAAACCCGACTACAAAAGCGAAACCTAAGACAAAACTAGTACACCAGCAAATACGGAAGAAGCCAAAAGCTTTGTGAGAATTCCAAATTGTCCAGGCTGAAGTGGAGGACTTCCTCCTTGAGCTGCTGCAACACATCCTTCAGCTTCTGCTACTAGCTCTAAATTCCCTTCCAAATCTCTCCCTCCAAATCAGATAGATGAACCAACACCATACACCAGACCCTCAATACTTCCTTGGCCAGCAAGCATACTTATTGTACCTGCCATTCCTTCCAGTCCTCTGGCCATATCTCATTAGGAAAAACAGAATTCAAGGCAGCAAGAGTATGAGGACATTTACAAATCAAGTCTCTTCTTTCTATCTCCAGATTGCAAAGGACACAAGCATCCGAATTAGAACAGCCCATCCTTTTAGCTTGCCTCTAGTTTTAATACGATGTTTTGGAACTGTAAACTTACCCCACAACACTTTAAACCAGCTCACTTTGGTCTACAGGTGCAAATTGAACTCCATATTGCTGTCACAGAAAACTTCTGAAGAGCTTTACCTTCCCCGGCAACTACACAGTTGATATTAACCTCCATATATTGAAACCAAGAGTGCAAATGAAGGAGCTTCCTCCACAACCATGATCCCACTTGCGTATTGGGCAGCTCCCATATACTTCTACCATTCAACCTATAACGGCTTATCCAGGCTGAAAGACCCACCACACATCAGTAGCATCCATATCATTCTGGCTGCACAGGCCACAATCCAAGTAACAAGATCTCGCAAACCAAGAACCCCTTCTTCCTCAGATAACGCTACAAGATCCCATTTCACCTTTTCTCTTCCAGTATCCTTCCCAAAACCAGAGGAAATCAGAACAATATTTTTGAATAATGCGAATCACTTTCTTTGGCAACACATAAACTGTCATCCAATACTGTATTACAGAATACAAGACAGAGGATACCAGTTGTATTTTCCCAGCATAAGACAGTTTATTTGCCCTACATGATATGATTATACTAGTTCTCTTATCAACTAGGGCACCACGATCAGTCGATCACTACTAGAAAACTTACCAGACTGCAAATGTACACACAGATATCGAACTGGCAGCTTCCCTTCTTTAAAACCCGAGCATTAGACAGTATATTTGCCCTCCATGGAGGAAAATCAGCCCAACTTGTAGAAACATTGACCTTCCAAGGACTGAACTGAAGCCCTTGCTCATCCCACCATTATGTCAGCTGCTCCTATCACAATTTCAATGTTCTGAAGAGGTTCTTCCATCCCCTGCCAATGACCAACAAGCAGAAGCCACCTAAAATAAGTTTCTTTACAAGAGACAGTTTAGAACATTTAAAATCTGGAGTTCTGTTGATAGTTAGACCCACCATGAAGACAAATTTGGTGATAGAACCAACTTCACTTGTGAGCAGACACCTTGCTAATTCTGCGTGCTGCTCAACCATCCCAGCTGCAGTCAGATGGCTAGTCAAAGACCATTCTGCAAAATGGATAAAGGAACAGTAAAGTGCAGTAGATCCTTATGCAATTAATAGAAGAAGAATGAAGTGCAACAGAGGGTAGCTTAATACCTTCTCATGCTGAGATAACCGTTTGGCTTTCCTCCAGTAAAAGGGGATTTTTCAAACTGGTTTAGTTACAGAGACTTAAAAACTTTCCAAAAAAGAAAATAGAGAAGTTTCTAACCAGTTGGATTGCTAGACCAACACGGAATTTCCTTATCATGTCAGTTTCAGCACCGAAGTCCAGATTAACCTGTTGACCATGAATTACGAGATGAGTCAACCAGATGAAAAACCTTTGTAGCAGTATGAAGAAGTAAGCCATTGAAAGAGGTAAAAGATATGAAAAGCATTAAATGGTGCACGCCTGGAACATCATATGATTCATATCTAGTCCCAGTGTGCTAACGGGCATGTAATTCCTCATGATAGGATAAGTCCATGTTGGAACATAAGTGGTCAAAAAGCTCGTATAGCTTACATTATAGACTATAGAGCCCCTGGAATAGACTGTTCATATATTGTGCAAACTACAAACCATAAAACATCACTCGTGTCTGTCTACAGAAAAATTGAAAGCAAATATCCTTGGCCCAGTGTGGAAAAGGATGACAGCAAACATTTGATGCAATGATTCCTTCACAAAGAATGTAAAATAGGACTGCAATGCTTCTACTTTCATAAGAACCACAAATTTAACAGAACCAATGACAAGCTTGTGAAATTATCTAGTGCAATAGCCATCAAACTTGATCTTACTATCCAAATAAATGCTCAATCAAAGCCAAATTTGAAACAAAGGCCCAAAGAGCACACAGTTAACAAGTGGCTAGTGGTTCTTACAGCTGCCTATTAATAAGTAAATACCATGATGAAATTGGAATTAATGGGGACAAAGGAGCCACCGACTTTGAAAATGTTCTGAAATCAGTTGAACTGACTAAAACCACTAAAAATAATTACAACTGGGTTATGTTACTTTCCTGTGCTAATTCAAAGGATAATTACCTCCAATAAAGAGGATACAAGATATCTGTACCCAGTGTTCTGACAGTGAGCTTTCCAATCCCTTGCCATCTAAACACACCAGGAGAAGACATAGACAAGTGATGGAACACTTACTAGTTTTAAGCCACTATTGTCTTCTCTGCATGATCGTTAGCTTGGTTTTCATATAGTACAGCATTAATGTTGTTTTGAGATCATTGAAAACAATACCATTAATCACTTTAGGTAGTAAAGATTATAAGAAGCATAAAACTCCAACAAAGATGCGAGGAAGTATCAGAAACAAACCTAGGGGTTGGAGTTACAGAGCTAAAGTGCATCAAACTGCAGTCCTTGTTTGCAACTTTTCTCATCTGCAAATCTTTCTCGTAGAAAAGAGAGAAAAAGGTAGAATCCCCAAGTTTTACACCAAATTATGCTGAAGTAACACTGATTTTGGAGAATTAGCAGAAAGCAATGGTGCAATCAGTTTTATCATAAGATTATTTTGAAAACATCCAACCCTATCAGCCAACTGATGATGCTAACAGGAACTGAGAACCAAACCAGCCGAGAAGTCAGATTGTGCCATGAGCTGAGGAGAACTTGTAAGTGCATCTGAACTCTACCTCTACAGGGATTAATTGGCATTTCCCTTCTCAGCAAGCTGCCTCTTTCCCAAGTCAGTCCAGAAGAAATGTCACTGAATGATGTTGCAGTGCCAGTGGGGTTTACTAAATAGATAGATGTCTCGCATTTATCTCCTAGTGTCAACTGTCAAATGATTAAATTTAAGCTATAGCTCCTACCTATAGGTTGCAGTGGTTTGTACATAATTCTAACATTTCAATTATAATTCTGGTAATCTTTGGGCAGAATCAAATGCCGATTGGCAACACACTTGTCTGCAACTGAAAGAACATACAATTCATAATATATCGCCAACAGAATTTTGTTTTCTAGCTGTCAAGGTATACAAAATGAGTTGCTCGAGAAGGATGTTATACCTTGAGAGTGCTAAGTACAATTCGCTACTATTGCTTTCTATTGCTACCTTTTCCTGATAAAATAACTTAACTTGTTCTACAAACAACCTTAGTAATTTTACCTTGCAAGCAAAGTTCATTGGCTAAACCAAGTCAGTGTCTATGCGAACGATCAAAGTAACAAGGCACAAAAGTAGAAGCTCCTTATCTAGCGGTTCCAGTAGAGCTGACCTTGACGTCAGCAAATCATCTGCCCGATATCTCTCTCTTCAACTGCTCCAGTTCTACTTCCATGGCCTTCAGTACCCTCTCCTTTTCCATCAATCTCCTCTCTGTCTCCCCCTTCTCTCTCTGTCATGCCTATTAATACCCTCCTGAATTCATTCAGGCTTCCGCCTTTCTCTTCTACATCCGCCGCCTCCGCCACCTGGAACAGCGACTCAAGACTCTCGACGGACTCAACGTCCTGGTCCTCATCAGCCGCGACACCCTTGGTCGCCTCCTCGCCGGGGATCATCGAACCCTAAAATTCCGCAACATTAAATAGAAAGGGAGCATGAGAAACATAAATCCCACAACACCAAACTTCCTGATTGAAAACGGAGACCACGACCGAATTTGAGTACTTGGGAAGAGGAGAAAAAAAATATCCTACCTCCATTTTCGCCGTCTAACTCTCTCTGGAAAGTTGGGAGCTGCCTGGATAGCCCTTGAATAGCCGGAAATCCAGCTGACGGAGAACGGCCTTGGACGAGAAAACCACAGAGAAAAGAAATCGAGAGCTCAATCAAACTAATTGGTAGACCTTTGGATTTCCTACTTCAATTCTGCAATAATGTTCCCGTTTTGTCTCCTTTTCTGCCAAGGAAAGGGGAAAAGGCTACGGGAGAGCTACAATTGTATATATAGAATAGAGCCCAGCCCACACCAGAATAGTGGAAAGAATAGAAAGACGCTTCTGCTATTCGTTCCAATCTCTGAATCCTCAAATCTCTCAATCAAATAGAAACCCTAGCCGGTTACATGGATAGACGATCGCGCTTCGGCGGAACGCTACCTTCTATTCACAGCATCGATCCCGACTCCCGCCGAGGATCCCAAGACGGCGAAGTATCCTACACGCAACGGAATGAAAACAAGAAGACAATCAGGAAGCTCCGATCGGAAAACCAGAAGCTGAAGCGACTTTCTTTTGCGAATGGCGAGGAATTGCGCCTGCTGAGCAAGCAATTCCAGGAACAGCTTATAGTGATGCGGGCGATGAAAATGCACCTTGTTAATGTGGCATCGATGGTGAAGCACCAAAAGTCGATCGAGGCGGAGATGGCTGCCAAAGTTGATGACAGCGTGCAACTGCTCTCCGACCTGGAGACCCATCAGGAGGACATTGCGAAGTTCGCTGGAACTATTGTAGCTCCGTCCACGGTTGATGATGAACCCATTGAGTAAGATTTCTCTTATTTTTGTCCGTCTTAATTTCATTAGTAGAAGTAGAACCCACATATAACATATTTATTTATGTGCTTGAGTTTTGACTGTAGGTTCATCCCATCGAGAACTTTGGAAGAACAGAACCTGTTCTACTCTGAGAAAGTTTTAGAGACGTACAATCTTGAGAATGAGGTTAGTACTTCTGCTCTGATTGCTTTGTTTTTCGTATTGGTCCTGGATATACATTCTTAATTAGGTATGTACGTATTTTGAATTGCAAGCTTTCAAGTCAAGTTTCTGTCCTTGTTTTACGAACAAAAACCATCATCCTATTACTTGTTTCAGGGTGCTGATTTCGCGCTTGATGAGGCATTAGTCAGCTTTCCTTTTTCTCACCGGGACAGATGGATCATCCATCTCAACTTCACAGCCAAAGATCAGGCCGGAGCTGTCCACCTGGTTTTTGGCGAGGTCGTCAGTGAGGATAAACCCGAGGATCAGCCTGAAGTGTTATCATATTGCATTCTTTCTCGTGATGCAAATGGTGAGTGCAGTGTTTAATTTGTAGAACCTATCACAGTCAAGGAACGAGTGATTTGTTTCACAAGCTAATTCATGACTCTCAGACTCTGTCATCTATTAGTTCTGAAACTCATCTAACTTTATATTGGCGTGTGCAGGTGACTATTCTAGCTTGACAAAGGGTTGTGCGGAATGTGATCCCGACTGTTTGGTGCCGATCTATCATCCTGACAGAGATTGCTTTAAGCTCGGGAACTTCGATCGTAATCTTTATTGGGCTTGATTGGTTTTGAGGATGCCCCCGAACAAAACTTACGGCCTAATGCTTATCTTCTTTTTGCTTCGGTGAATGCTTTCTACACTTTATGGCTATCTAATTTCTATTTATTCTGGTTCACGTGTATCTAGTTACTTGAAAATACAAGCCATGTTAACCCTGTCACGTATTCACTTGAAAAATACCGTACAATTACCAGTTATTTAAGTATGATACAAATTTTTTTTTTCTTCCGAAGTTTGAAACTAGCTTATAATCCTGCCTGTTAGTCGGACATAGTTTAGTTGAATGATCTTAAATTGTTCTGGCATAGTGTAGGCTATGGTCCGTGTAGATTAATTGTTGTAGCATCTAAAAAGTCTGTCAGTAATTATAATATTGAATTCAGTTCACCACAAATAGTTTGTTTCGTTGTGGCTGGAGTTCAATTGGACGAATGATATAAAATTGCGGTAATGGAAATATCTAGCAAGTGTGTTTTTTATTTTTTTTACTTTCAGCAATGTGATACAAAATATGAAAATATCGTCTGCTGTTGTTGTAATTTCAATTGCCTCCAAAATCCGAAAATGAAAAGCTAGTGGATTGTGAAATCAATAATTTTGTACAGAGCGGAAGAGTTATAGTCCGTCCAATACACGTGAAACCAAACTGACATAATTTTCCAACAAATGAACCCAACATCATCTTTTTGGACCAAGCGACGACATGTTGGAGATGCACAGCCTGTGTAAAACCAGTTGTCTTTCACTCTAGCTGCGATGCAATCCAATTCCACAGTTCTCTGAAATATATTATGGAGCCTATCGTAGGCTGACTTTCCGTTCTTGGGCAGCAACAAGTCTTCCTCCATGGCGACCGCCTCCGCTATCTCGCCATCCTCCATCAGCAGTCCGATATAGAGGAGGCGGCTACTGAGCTCTCCGCCTTTACTGCTTCACCGGTGATCAGGCTTCGTTTACAGTAGTTGAGGGCAGAGGCGGTGTCGAAGGGGATAGAGCGCGCAACCGCCATTGGCAGAGTTGATTGATTTGGTGGATGATAGTGGCGCGACCGTCCAAATGAGCTATAGAGCTTCCGCGCGGATCACGACGACATTGAATCGGTTTGATGACGAGGTTTGCTACAGGTGTGGCGCGAGAAGTAGACTATCAAAGAGCACCGGCTCCGCCGCGGAGAAGTTAACGCGCTTGGAAGGGCTGGAAGCGCGACACTATGTAGAGAAGCTGCGCGCAGAGATTGGCGGCAACGTTCTCCTTTTCTGACTTTTTCCAGGCTGGCATCAACTTGCACACTCTTGCATAGGGCTGGCAGTTTGGACCGGGACCGGATTGAAAACCGGAAACCGGACCGTAAAACCCGGACCGTTTTAAGACCGAGACCGGATGTAAAACAATCCAATCCCGTCTTTGGTCCCAGAATTAGCAAAAAAACCGGACCAGTCCAGTCCGGGTCAAAACCGTGTAAAAACCGGAAGACCGGATAAATAAAAACAAATCAGACCAGAGGCAATTCTGACCCAAAGCCAAAGCCCATAAGAGCCCAAATAAACTCAGTACTCGGCGGCCCATAGAATAGAAGCCCATTGTTAATTTTAGGGTTGGCTGGAGTGGAGACGCACTGACGCAGCCGCTCCTCTGCCTCTCGTACTCGTCGTGTCTGTGTGTCTCTCTGCCTCCATTTCGCCATTTCGCCGCTCCAGTCCACAGTCCGCCTCCGCGGCCCGCGCCGACCTAGCGACGACCCCGACCCGCCTCCGCGCCGACAGCGAGCAGCGACGACCCCGAGTAGCGCAAAAGCACAAACTTTCACCAGCGACGACCCGCCTCCGCGCCGAAAGGACAGCAGCGACGACCCCGACCCAGCCCAGCCCCGACGCGACTCCGACTCAGCTCTGTCATAGCCTCGTCGCCGGCTCTGTCATAGCCTCGTCGCCCTCCCGCAGCCTCATCACCGTTCGTCGACTTTTGGGAACATCTACGAACTCATAAAAATGGAAGGCAGCAGCAGCTGGGTAAGCAAACTGTGCAAATGAATGAAGCTCATCATGTGTCCTTGTTGTTTGTCGTCACTTCGTTCCTTAATTATTCTGCCTAACCCGCCATTGTTCTCATGAATTGATTTTATTTCTTTCTTTTAGTTCTTGTATTATTCGACAGTACTGACCATTGGCACAAATTCTTAAATTTTGGGTGCATCTTTTGCTTATCAATGAAAATTTCCAGCCTTTGCCAAAATGACAAAAACAATCCAGCCAAGACAAAGTAAAGAGATATGCCAAAGATTTGGCAGTGGCAGAAACACATGCTAGCTATTACAGTTTTGCTTATAGTCTAAAAGAATTGCTGCATTTGAATGATGGAATGTGATATACCAGGGTTGGATGAGTTTATTATCGATTGATTTTTGTTTGTTCTTCAATGGATTGAATTATTTTGTGCAGGGTACTAAGAAGCGAATACTGAAGGTACAAGCATGTGAATGAACACGAAGGTACAAGTACGAGCAATGTCGGAGGGAGTGATGTGTTTGGCTTGAGGAGTGGAACAAATCAAGGAGGTGGATCTAATGCTTCATTTATTTCTCTTGAACCTGATGAGTAGAAATGGTTTGGCGAATTTGTTAGATTGGAGTGAATTTGGTGTTTGATGTCTAAACTTTGTTTGTGAACTTGTGATGCACTTTATTTTTATTTTGAAGTTTGAATTGGACTTTGAGTTTGTAATAGACATCAATGATGGTTGTGATTTTGTATTGGACCATATTTGGCTTGATTTTTGCTACAAACAGGTTGTTTACATTCCAGGAAATAGGTATATGCTGCTAAATTTTTTGCAACATGGTCAAAACGGGTCAAAACAGGTCAAAACCGGATTGTGACCGAACTGGGTCAAAACCGGACCGGGTCAAAACCGGACTGTACCCAATCCAAGTTTTGGTCCCCATATTTCCAAAAAGACCGGACCGGACCGGATCAATTCGGGCCAATTTAACCGAACTGGACCGTACTGCCACCCCTACTCTTGCATCGAGAAACACGCCTTTGCCAGAGAGAGGAATGTGTCTTCTCTTTTCATTCTTTCTCGACTGCAGGGCCACAAATTATAGCAAAGCAGTTTGATTTTTGAGCAAGTGGGAGGAGGACTATGTGACAGCTGATGGAGACTATCAGCTTCTTCCTCCGACGCCAAACCCATTCTCCGACGAAGGGAATATTTAATTTAATTTAATTTTTTCTTGTTCTTCGGTTGCTGCTCTGGCGCTGCTCACAACTGTGGCAAACGAGGTCGGCGTAATTTGAGCCATCATGCGAGGGACGGGGGGGGGCTAACGACCATGAATCTTGTGTTTTCCTTTTTGATAATCCACCGGTACCTTGGAGGGATTTCACAGTTATTGTCGTCGACAACCATTCGTAGAGGAAGAGAGTTTCTTTTTCTTCATTACCAGATCTTGAGATTTCTGCTTCTTTCCAGAACCTTTCTTTTCTTTTCCTTTTTCGATGAAGCTTCTGTCTTCTTTTTAGATTTAGCGTTCTTCCTCCTTCCGTAATTGAACGAACGAATCCAAATCTGCCCCACGGTGGGCGCCAATTGTTTGTACCGCCTGGTTCCAGTATGAACATTGATATTTGTTGGTGCGGGGTTGACTCACGATCCGTTCGTCTGATCTCGTCGGGAGGGAAGAAACCTGTAAAAGAGTCGGGGTGAAAGTTGAGAGAACAAGGTAGAGAGATAAAGTGTAGAGAGATAGTGGAAAGTGAGGGGAGAGGAGAAGTCCCCTCCTTTGGAGGGCTTCAAGCCCTTATATACCTGTAGCGGGTATCGCATCGCCGATTGTGCGCCCTGCTACTTAGTCTGTGCGCGGAGTATCTTAGTAACACCCCCAACAGGTATGTTAAATATTGCCATAGGACTATGATTGGTTTAGTTAATAAAGAATAATCATGTATTAGGAAGTCAGTAGCTTAACTTGGAAACGTGAATGTGTTCGATATTTGGTACATATAATAATTTATATTCGGTCCAGATAGCAAAATCCTTCATTGAAGTTGCATGCAAAAGACAACAAAAAGCTTTCATAATTAATTACTACAACATTAAAGATGAGAATTTAAAAATAACTTAACCATACATAAAGATGTTTCTTTTTATTGCTTATCCATCTATCTCCGATAAACAGTGCAAAAAATTGTTCAGCACGTATGATCGCACAAATAAAAAATTACGGGCCTAATAAAATTCTTTATTCTCACCAAATAAATCAGTTAACATAAATAATAAAAAGTAACCGACCCGGCCAACGGCCGGAGAGAAAGCTAGTTGCAATTATTAAAAAGTAAAAATAATTTCTTTTAGTTCTTGCGGCCGCGTCTCCGAGGCATGGTCCATTGAACCGTACCGACAGTTCAACCACAAAATATCAGTATCGGAGGCTAAACCGATAGGCGGTATTTAACGATACTAACAGTTGAACTACGGTTAAACCATGGTTTTATCATAAAAATACCCTATCGCTGACTTTTCCAGTACGGTCTCCGATACGGTTTCATGGACCATACTCCGAGGCCCATATACAAACAGTTACGCTTTTAAATTTTAATGAATTGTTCACAGGTTCCCATGAAAAACAAAAAACAAAAAAAAAAAAATCTTACAATCTACCGGTACATCTATTTCACAATCACAAAATTGAAAATTCCAATCGACTATTGGAAAAATATTGATAGCGTACTGAAGAAGTGGAGTCGCGTGTCCTGAACTCGCTGACATCCCTGGTTTAGGGTTTATCTGCCCGTCCGCTTCTTCCCTCTTCCAATCTCGCCCCAGAGAAGTAGCTGCCGACCAGGTAACTGCTGCTAACATTCCAGCCGCTCTATTTCGAAGTCGAGGTTTCTCTTAGTGCTGCTAGGCTAATTTGGATTGCCCGTCTTCGAATTGGAAGGGTACGAAACCGTAGTCGGAGCTTCTGGTCTGTTTCATCCTGTTGGACGGCATGAAGCGGCACGAATTAACCGTCGGCTGAGGCTCCCGCTTTACCAACGCTCAGAGTTCCCACTGTCTGACACGAAACTTTTCTGGTACTGCTTTTACTTCACGCCTTTGCCTCTTGATGGTTTTCGAGTGGATCAGACTGTCAAAGCTCTTCAGTTGTTTGTTTTTTTTTTTCTCAAGTTGCGTTACTGATCGACCTTGTAGCTAAGAGACTACAATTCAAGTGAGAAGAATGCATAGCCGCATAGGTAAGTGGCATGAAGAACCATTCTTCTGATGTTATGTGGAAGGGAGGAAGTCAAAGTGGGGAAAGGAAGATTTTCTGGTCACCTCACTGTCAGCACATTCCATGGCACATTCCATGGCATTGATTATATGCCAAAGGAATCAGAAGGAAGATTGTGAATCATGCTTCTGTGTTGTGAGCTGGTGATGCAGTACATAAAATTGATTGAACTTGAGGAACCTTAATTTCCAATATCTCATTTATCCTTTTTTCCCCCCTTCTTCCATTAACCTTGTTAAATAGTTCTTTGTTTGTTTCCGCAGTTGCTGCATGACCATTTGCTAACGGATCTGAACGATTCCTCCCCAAGATACCAAGTATGTAACTTCTAATCTTCTACCATCGATTTTTCATTTTTTTTTTTCATAAGCTATGGAAGGAGAAGTGTGAAGATGTTAATGCATCCCTAGTTCCTTCGTCCTACTAGCAATAGCAAATATTGTGAATCCTAATTTCTCAATGGAACATCCATGTCAATCGTTGGTCCACTTGGTTCAAGCTGTGAGCTAGGCAGAAATGGAACACTAGAGATGATCAAATACACTATACAATGAGGATACTGTTAGCGTGTTCAGTTTCATGTCTCTGCCCCTCTTTGCTGCTGTTTTCACTTTCTCAATCAACCTCCCCCCTCCCTGTTTATCAAGGCCCTATGATGGTAATCTAGATGAGATTATACCCAATATTGATCCGCTCACTCGGACTAGGCTTAGACAAATTGCTTATGTTGTAAAAAAACGCTGTCAAATAGTTGTCAATCCCTAAACAAAGATGCTGACTTTCAGAATTGGGGATTTCCTACAACAATCCTTGTCCAACAAGGATTTGGTGGAGATGCTCAATTGCTGTCCATGTTGGTTTAGGAGTCTTTTATTACATCTACTTTATTTATTTTTTGAAGTATGAGTGTTATTTGTTTCTTAGTAGTAGACTGATTAATTTTCAGTTTCCTAGGTGTAGAAGGAAGTCTTTTCTTTTTGGTTAGCCTCTCTATAAATACAAGGCTTGTAGTTCAGTTTTATGCATCAAGTATTTTGAATTAGAGTTTTCAAGAGTTGCAAGAAATATTATATTTTGTGTTATTGCTTTTTGTAATTTTCAGATGGAATGGTCCGAGTGTAAAAACGAAATTAGAGATGCCTGTTTGGAGATCCAGCAGCTTCAGTCCGACGTGGCTCACGAATTTCAGCGACTCCAGCTGGATTTCACTGATACCCATTCGCTTCAAGAAGAAGAACTGCGCAAGCTTGATGAAATGAAGGCTAGAATTGAAAATTTGAAGTCAGCTAGTGGTGCTATTGTAGACTCGTTCATACAAATTCGACCTGATGTCCAAACTGTAATTGACATTGATTCCGCCAATGGAGTCGAAAGCAGCTTTTAGAGTGTCTTGAGAGATGGATGAAAGGGTAACAGGGCTCAAATCCTCTGTTATAGGCTGATCTGATTACAAAGTTGTGTCTCGGATGACAGATTCTTAAGGGATTGCTATTTGTCGCCCTAAAAATCGTTATTAGTCACCTTAATTATATTAAATTTACTGTAATGCCCTTAATTTATTTTTTTGTTTTTGTTTTTCAAACACTTAAACTCTCAAATAAACTAAAAACAAACTAGTCGCCGCCGGCCAGAGTCGGCCACCTCATCGAAGGCCTAACCATCGTTATTATCACCATATGAAGAAGAAGGTAATCACATATTACTTTATTAAATAAATCACGCAATTTATTTAATTATAATTACATTGATAATATATTAATTAAAAAATAATACATATGAGTGCTCAAACCCACCTACACACGTCGCCGGCGGGATGAGGACAACAACCATGAAAAAGCAGCCTTCCTTCTTCGCCCTCCTTCTTCCTGGTCGCCAACAACCATGAAAACAGAAAAGCAGCGGTGGCGGGGAGCAATTCTTGTGGTAGCAACTGTAATGGGGAGCGACTCCTGGCAGCAGCGGCGGCGGCGGGAGCGAATCCAGCAGCAGGTCAACGCTACAGGAACAGTTCTTTGGGCGGCGGTTTTTCTCCGAGATGAGAGTCCAGTTTGGGATGGGGGACGGATTGTTTGCTAGGGTTTAGTTAGACGTTGAAGTTAGGGATATATGTGTCAATTTAGTGTGGTTTAGGGCGATTTTTTTTATAATTTTAGGGTGATGATTAGCGATTCAGATTCTTAATGGGTAAATTGCAAGGTCGGTCACTGCGATTACTAAAAACATTCACGTTTGGTCACTGTAAATATTTAATTCCATTCTTGGTCACTGCAATTAGTTAAATGTTTCAAGTTTGGTCACTCTCTGTTACCTTCCGTTAGTCTCCGTTAACAGTGTTAGTTTTTTGCTGATGTGGCTAACAGAAGTGCCTAATCAGTCAATTTTAATCCAAAAAAAATATAGCCCGACCTGTGCGATTACTAAAAACATTCACGTTTGGTCACTGTAAATATTTAATTCCATTCTTGGTCACTACAATTAGTTAAATGTTTCAAGTTTGGTCACTCTCCGTTACATTCCGTTAGTCTCCGTTAACGGTGTTAGTTTTTTGCTGATGTGGCTAACAGAAGTGTCTAATCAGCCAATTTTAATCCCAAAAAAATATAGCCCGACCTGCCACATCCACAAAACCAGCCACATCATAAATTACAACCCATCCCATAACCCTAACCAACCTTATGACCCGCCCATTCTCTAAAATAAATCACCAGTGTAGCCAAAACATATTTTGTCATTGATTTTTTGTAGGGTTCAAAAAAATTGGAAGCTGGAATAGGGCAGCGGACAGCTCGCCATCTCCACAATTCTTCTATGAGCTTCACCTTCTCCCTCTACGACTCCTTCCGACGCCGAATCTATCCTCGCGTTGAAATCAAAATCATAGTTACAATCCACCCTCCACTACTCTCACAAAGCTTCCCCCAGCTCTGCCTCCACCGACAAAGCGTTCAGTCCTCCAAAACAAGGTCACCCACTTCGTCCTCCAGAACCTACTCCTAAGTGGCATCTTCCCCGCCAACATCCTCACCCAACTCTACTGGCTCCGGGTCCTCGGCTTGTAGAAAACCTCCTCACCGGCCCAATCCCCGCCAACACCCTCACTCGCCTCTCTCGACCGCTTGAACTCCCTTTGCCTCGAGTGGAATCGCTTTAACGACTCCATTCCCCCACTCAACCAGTCCTCTCCTTCAACATCTCCCACAATGTCGACCACGCGGGCCATTCTCCTCACCCCGACGTTCCTTCCCGACTGAATCGGAAGGCAATCTGGGCTTCAATCAATAAGAGAGGCAATATGAGATTCTGAGACCGAGATTGACGGCGGTTGGAGGAACCAGCGGCTGCGGAGGATGGCAGATCTGGGTTATTGTTCTCCAGAACCAGCGACCAGATTTTGAAGCTCCAACGCTTCAAAATTCTGCTTCAACTTGGCGTCACCGTAGCCACGTTGGTCGGGGCTTGAGAAGATCTCCACCTCCTGATCTTCCTTAGTAACACCACTACTCTCAGTATCCGCCATCAATCAAACCCTAGGATTATCTCAAAGAATGTAGAAATGAAAGAATCAGAAACAACAGAGGTGGCGACGAAGTGTATGGAATTGTTTGGGGATTTCTGGGTTTTGCCGAGAAAGAACAAGCCAAGCAAGGTGGGTATAGAGTCGGTCACGGGTTGGGTTGGGAAGGGTCGAATCATGGGTCGGGTTGGGGAAACTGACGTGGCGGGTCAGGTTGTTTTGTTTCTCGGGTTAAAATTAGGTGACTGGGCACTTCTGGTAGCCACGTCAGCAAGAAACTAACGGTGTTAACGGAGGTTGACGGAGACTAACGGAGAGTGACCAAACCTGGAATGTTTAACTAATTTAAGGTTTAACTAATCCTAATGATCATAAATGGAATTAAGTATTTTCAGTGACCAAACGTGAACTTTTTCAATAATCTTAGTGGCCAACCTTGTAATTTACCCGATTTTTTTATATTTAAAATTCAGGAAGACAATCCAGTTCTTGGGGAAAGTCATTCGTTTTCGTTATTTATGTTTGTTCATTAGTTATGTTTTGTGTAAAATTATTTCCAATACTTATTTCTAGGCGGGAGATCTTGTAATCATTAATCAACATTCGATATTTTGATTATTTCATTCGGGTAACTGTATATACTAAAAAGTCACTGAAAATATTTAATTTCATTCGTGGTCAATGGTTCAAGTTTGGTCACTCTCTGTTAGTATTCGTTAACTTTAATTTATGTGGCAGTCAACTCTTGTATTTCACCGTTAAATATGTGGTGTGATAGTAAAAAATCATATAAAATTAATTTTTTATTTTCCACATCAGCACAAATATTAAAAATAAAAAATATACTTCTTTTAATTTTCCTCCACCACCAGTACAAATATACTTCTCTTTTTCAGCCACTGCCCGGATACAGAGGCCCGGCACGAAGTAGAGCGCCGTCCGGCCCGCCAGGTCCGCAGCCCAAACGTCTCGGGTGTCGCAGCCGTCAGATTCGAGGGTGGAACTGCTCGGAATCGAGGCCCGACACGATTCTGCACAACATACTTTCAGTTTAATCTCCCTGAACCTTACCTTTATACATCTTCCCTGCATCCTTTAGGGACGGGATACGGTGACAACCCCCTTAGGGGTTGTTAGATTGACAACCAAGGGTATTTTGGGTATTAAAAAAAGGAATATATTAATTACCTTTTTTGTATTAATCAGATTGGGAATTAAAAACCCATACTAAATACAATTTTTTTTTTAAATTTAAATCCTATACATTAATATCTCTATCTCTCTCTCTTCCTTTCTCCTGCGGTCACTCCGCTTCGATGGACAGACTTTTTCTCTGGCGAATTCTCTCCGGCAGACTCCCTCCGGCAACCTGAAAAATGTACCAGTGCGTTAAAAAGTGTACCAATCTATTAGTCTATTGGTAATTAATATACCAGTGCTAGTGGTACGCTACTAGTGCGTTAAAAAATGTACCAGTGCAAGTGGTACACTACCAGTGCTAGTGGTACGGTACCATTACCACTTGTAGCGGTACCAGTACCAGTATCACTGGTAGCGGTACCATTGCCACTGGTAGCGTACCACTAGAGACTAGCACAAAAAAATCAGATCTGAAATATGAAAAATCACAGATCTGGAAAATAAATAGGGATGAAGAAAGGGGGAGGCAGGAGAGAGGCGGTGACCTCGTGGCGACGGTGGTGGTGGGAGACAGAGGGCGGCGGGAGGGTTGCGACGACGGTGGTGGTGGGAGGCCATTGCGGCGATGGTGGGAGGAGGAGGCCGCGATGGCTGCGGGGCGAGGGACGTGACAGTGCTGGGAGGTGGAGGGCGCGACGACGGGAGGGCTGCAGCAGTGATGAGAGGCGAAGGGCGTGGCGGGTCGGCTGCGACGACGGTGGTGGCAGCTGATAGAGAGAGAGAGGGAAGAGATGGGAGGAAGAAGAAGAACAGGAAGAAGAAAGATGGCATGAGAGAGAGAGAGAGGAAAGAGAGAGTGTAGGGTTTTAGATATTAATAGGGGTAATAATCTAGTGTGGTCAATTTTTTTTCGTCCAAAAATACCCTTAATCCAATCTGTACCATTGATTTGAAAAAAGAAGAAAGAGACAAGAGAGAGAATAGATCCTATGGTTATAAAATGGGTTGTCAATCTCACAACCCATAATGAGGTTGTCACCGTATCTCATTCCTCAAGCCTCATGCAATAAACCAAATTGATACGAAATTGACACGAGAAATAAAATGTATGTCATGAATTAACAGATTGAGAACAAAGTTGAGCTACAAATTTGTATCATACTACATTTTCAAGTAACTACGTAAACGCCAACCATGACAAAAGTTGAGATTAGATAGCTACAAATTGTAGAAACCGTTCATCAAAGCAAAATGAGAGATGAGCATTAGACAGTAAGTTTTGTTTAGCCAGCGGCCATCCTGAAACCAATCAAGTCAAGGATGATGAGGATTGAAGTGCCCCCGCTTAAAGCAATTTTCGTCCGGATGATAGATCGGCACGAAACAGGTGGGATCACATCGTCGACAACTCTTCGTCAGACTAGAATAGTCACCTGCGCACGCACCAAAATACACTTTGGATTAGTTTAGAATCAATAGATGACCACTGACAAGTCACGAATTAGTTTGCAGAAACTAATTAGTAGTTCGTCAAATGGGACAGGTTCAAAAAAAATTGATGCACTCACCATTTTCACCAGGAGTTAGAATACAATATGATAATACTTCAACCGGATCCCCAGGTTTAAGCTCAACGGTCGTCTCCCCAAACAAACGGTGGACATATCCAGCCTTATCTTTGGCTGTGAAGTTGAGATGGATGATCCACGTGCCTCGAGAGTTAAATGGATAGGTGGCTAATGCTTCATCGAGTACGAAATCAGCACCCTGGATAGGCAATAGGAGGAGGGGCTGTTCGTAAATAATATATACTAGTACAGAAACTTGACACCATCACTGAGTTCGCAAACAAGTTTTAAACTTTAAACCAAAACACACCTAAACTATGAATGTCTATCCATGAATAATACTGTTAGAAACCCAATTATTGGGTGATTTCGGTATTTGGACTTGTTTGTCGTTTTTATTTATGTTTGGGGAATATTGGGTATTATTCGGGGGTTTTGGGCGCATTTGAGGATTATTCAGTTATTTTGGGTAAGGGATAATAAGTGGGGTAGTTAGCGGGAATTATTCGGGTAATATATTCTGTAGTTAGTGGGTGAGGGTGATTACTCATTAAGCAAATACATAACAAAATTCCCCAAAACCCTAATTCCCTCTCTCTCACTCGGCCTATCCCTTCCCCTTCTCCCACCACCATCATCATCCTCGTCGGCCACCCTGGCCGCCGACCCCTTCTCTCTCCCTCTCTAATTCTCATTTCGTCCCTCAAATTCCCCTTCCCAATTCCCAGTTCTCTACCGATCCTGATCATAACGCCCTAGACACAAGACGCCTAGATCCTCGTGTTTCTTACAAATTCTACAAAACAAAGCGACCAAAGAAGATAGAGATTCACAGAGAAGTACACTAACCGGATTATCACAATTGTATTTCTCCAGAACTCTCTCCGAGTAGAACAGGTTCTGTTGTGCCAAAGTTCTCGGTGGGATCCTATCAACCAGTCCCCCCGTCAGTCAAAAACACAAGTATATTAGTCCATCGGTTTATACGTACTAATGAAATTCAAACAGATAAAAAAATCATGACCCTTACTCGTCTTCGTCATCTGTGGACTCGGGAGATTGTGGATCTACAATAGTTTGACAAATCTTCACAATGTCCTTCTGGTGCGTCTTGAAGTAGCACATCTGTTGCTTGCTCTCGTCAAGTTTGGCAGCTATCTCCACCCTGACCGAGTTTTGGAGCGTAGCCGTCGATGCTGCACTGTCAAGCTGGATTTTCATTCCGCGCATGACTACAAGCTGTTCCTGGAATTGCTCCATCAGCAGGCGCAGGTCCTCGCTTTCCTCATCGACTTGTCGTTTCAGTTTCCAGTTTTCCAAAGTGAGCTTCTCAATCGTCTTCTCGTCTTCCCTCTCTTCATCGACGGATAACTTGTTGCCGGATTTTCCGTGGGAGCCCAGACGGGAGATGATGAGACTAGAGCGTAGGGATCGGCCGTTGCGCGATGAGCTAGGATGGTCCATGTAGCCGGAGCGGGACAAACGATAAGACGGCTTAGGGTTTCGTTTTGTTGGATTGGGATTTGGGAATTTTCTGGAATTGAGGAGTTGGGGATTGCCGTCCTTTAATATAGAATCTGTTTTATTATATAATTTATTAATAATTTTGCTCTTTGGTTGACTGACGGCCTCTCCGTGTCCGCATGGGGTCAGGCTTCTTGATCACGAATCGGACCACTTGATTACAAATCGGTAATTCTGTTTTTTTTTTTAATATATTTATAAATGGACTCAGCTTTCAATCGGTAATTCTGTTTCATTATGAATATAATGACATATTTACTTTCATTTTTTTCATTTTCTTGTTCGTGACTACATAAAATAGTTTCTGAAGAGAACGAAGTTATCGCTTTTAGAAATAAAATTTGAATAAGGGTAGAGATCAAATAAGAATGATAAAGTTTAAAAAAATAGTAAGGTAAAAGTATCAAATACGAAAAGGAGAAATTTTTTAGTTTATTACCAAACATGTAATAGAGATATAAAATTTCCACTGACTTTTCAAAATCAATTCTAATATACTCTTTGGAATAAGTGTTTTTTGTGTTTGGAATAGAAATGAATTCATTTCTAATGGTAAATTCCGGATTCACCTCTATTCTTGTGGTGATGTGCTAACCGATCATTATACATTTCAACCAGCATGTTCTTTCAATAGATTACGCTTTTATATGCAAGTTTTTTATGAAGACATATTAGTATCTAAATTTTTCAAAATTTCATAATACTCTAATATTTAGAGTTCAGTTGAATCTATAAATACAATCCACGAATTCAATGGAGCATATCTTTATATTGTAATACCAACGAGCTTATTACTACTTTCATTCTTCATCTGGTAAGTTACTTATGCCTCACAGAGCCCTGCATATTTGATCCAGATCTCTCTTTAGAAAACACAGCCAGCAAGAACATTTCTAACAATGATCTTCAACTGTTTCCATAATATTGACATTTCGATTTAGATTGTGCATAATCAAGTAACCAAAATTATCTATCTACATCCCAAAAAAAGGGCATCGAGATTGAAAATTCTAAGCTAGATTCACAGTGGGTTCTCTACTAGGTGGACTAGATAAGTTCATTGAGGCCAGATTCTACGATCGTCATGATGGCTTCCCGTCTCCACTTTTCAACATCCAAGCAGAACCTTTTGATTCACTCTCAGCAACGGCCTCTGAGCGTCAACAGTAAATTAGGGCACTTGTCTTTCATTGTAGGCTGAGTTCAACTGTTCGTTGTATAATAATGATAATAAGCCGCCAGTTACAGTAGATTAGGAATGAGAGGGTGTTTACACCAAAAATTAACCTTGTACCACATCGATTAAAAACAAGGAATTAAATGACTTTATAAGGCCAACTTAAACATATCAGTTTAAATCAGTTGAGTGGGCCATGAGGATTGGGTTTTTGGGCCCATTACTCCGTGCCACCACGCGCGCCATGCATATCCAAATTTGACTAAGTATGGGAGCCACCCCCATGACACGCAAAGGGGGTGGGCATCATACCACCACCCCCAGGACGTGGCAAAGGGGCTAAGGCGAGGGGAGAAGATGTAAATTGTGGCTAAGTATGGAAGATGATGAGGGTGGAAGAAGCACCCCCATGACCCCCAATGGTATGGTGAGGGGGTCACCAACGTACACCCTCATGGTATGGCCAAGGCAAGGGGGTCATGTGAGCACGTGGTCTCTTTACTCTCCTATTGGTGAAGTATTTTTGCCATCTTTAATTCATGTGATTCAAACACCCACCCATATGTGGCACATGGTATTCCATCATGCCTTAGCCATTTTTTCTCTATAGACAAGCGAAGCTATGGAGGAGATACCAAGAGTAGGGAGTGAGATCACAAGAGGAGGGGATCAGGGCTGAAGAATGTGGCACATCCAACGTGAAGGTAACCGTCGAAGCAGTTGAGAGGGTAACCACCACTCCACGTCAGCAGAGCAGTTTCTCAAAGCAGTTACTTTTGGTGGCTATAAATAGGAGGTGAAGATGATGGAGAAAGGGTTCGCAAAAATCACAACTCGACACCACTTGTCAAGTTTTATCTTTGTTTTTCCTCTGCGCATTTTAGCCATAGTCGTAGTTTTTGGAGCTCTCACTGGACCTCCATAGGAGTAGGGCTAATTTAATGTAGATTTGCCTCGTAGTTCATCAAAACATTGAACACCCTTGTTTGAACTTTGTTCAAAGAGGGAAAACAAATTGGCACACCTGGTGGGACACGTGTGTTCGATTTGATGGCTCCGAGGCGGAGGAATCAAGAAAGTGGCGCTCCGTCTGGTTTTGTGGAGGAGTAGGTGGCCAACATTGAACATGGCCAAGTGTCAGAGGCGGTGGCTGGAAAAATTGGTGGGGCGGAGATCCTACCAACGGCGACGCCTAGTGGAGATATTGGTGAAGCAGTGGGGATCCTTCGTCAAATGATGGAGGAGAACCGCAAACTGGTGGCAGAGAACCGTCAAGCCACAGAGGAGAACCGCCAAATGATGGTGGAGAACCGCCGCATGATGGAGGAGGCTAGAGCTGTTTCTCATCAGGTAAATTCTCAAATGGATTGTCTTAATTCTAGAGTTGATAGACGTTTAAGTCAATTATTTGAAGTGGTTAATAAGAACAAAAGTGATTTTGATGAGTTTAGAAGATTTTTAGCCACACCAATAATCCAATATAGAGCTCTGCCATTAGATGACGGGAATCCAAACCCCATTAACAATTCTGTAAATTGTAGTTCATCTCCAGTCGGCGGCGGGAATGGTCAGCCACGACAAGATAACCTCTTTCCGACAATGACAAACCAACCAAATCCTCATCGCATGAATCGCGGCGAGATTCCTGCCACTACTCAAGTGGAAGGGATACCCAATGTGGGAGTTGGAGAAATTCCCCCACGTGGTGAGAATTTGGGAGTTACACATTCTGCTCCAGTGGAACCGCCACCCATACCCATACCAGTGGCAAGGCCTATATGGTGCCTGCTCACATGGGAGGGGGAGTAGCCTTAGGTGGGGGAGATCAAGTTCCTCCCAGAGCATACCCAACACCCATGCCACCCCATTTCAATGGGCATGGAATGGACCCCATGGGTTTCGTACCCCAAGGGGGGCAACCAGGGGGGGGGGGCATGATCCCAACACTCTAAGGGACCAGGTGGCTCAACTTCTTGCCGAGCAATTTGGCATTGGAGTGAGACCCACCATGCCACCTATTTATCGAAAAACATACCCTGAGTGGGTGGATAGATTCTACCCATTCCCAAGGGGGGTTTAGAGTCCCCGAGTTTGCCACATTCACTGGGACAGGGGACCAATCTACTGTGGAGCACATTGGACGTTTTACTGTCCGGTGTGGGGATGTAAGAGATTTTATTAAGTTAAGAGTATTTGGAAACTCATTGACAAGACCTGCTTTTGGTTGGTATGTCAACTTGCCATCCAACTCCATCCAAACATGGCAGCAGATGGAGCAAATCTTCCATGCTCAGTTCTATAGATCTGAGCGTGAGGTTTCCATGGCTGATTTGGTGGCATGCGCCAAGAAGCAGAGGAGTCGGTAGAGCACTTCTTGACAAACTTCAAGAATGCTCGTAACCATTGTTTTGTCAACTTGACAGAGAGAGAGAGAGAGAGTTTGTCAAGTTAGCACAAGGGGGGTTGAGTTTTGAGTTAAGGAAGAAATTCCAAGATAGAGAATTCTCTTACTTGTTCCAACTCATGTCTTGTGCGGTGAGATATGAATCTCTTCTTCAAGAAGAGGAGAATAGGAGAAGTGCTTCAAGGGGGCAATACTTCCCCAACATCGGCTACCCTGTCAACCATATTGGCCAAGAGGCCAATGAGGTGGAGGTAGACCTGGCTGAGTTAACTCTGGGGAAGCCATATGTATGTGCTCCTTTGGCTAATATGGACAATGAACCACAAGGGGGTAGACCAAATTGTGCCCCCATCCAGCCACGGAAGTATTCATTTGATATTTCTAAAGCCGACTTGATATTTGACCAACTCTACAAAGATGGTCAAATCAAGTTGACAGGGGGGCATAACATCCCACCCCCTAAGAAGTTAAGAGGGAAAACATATTGTAAGTGGCATAACAACATGCTACACTCCACAAACTCGTGTGTGGTTTTTTGCAATATATTTCAGGATGCCATTGAGAAGGGTCGCATCAAGCTCCCCGAGCCAAAGAAAGATGCCATGTTGGTGGATACCAACCCATTTCCGAATTTGCTTGGTGTCAACAGGGTTAACCCAGACTTCTCAAAAATTGAGCTCCCCCGTTTCAAGCTGGTGTTGGATACAACACCGCAACAAGGGACCCCCACCATGTTGTTCGAGCAGGGAGAGTCATCGAAGGGTACGCAGGCCAACTCGGCCACTTCTAAGGTGTCAAGTGAGGTGGAGAAGCTATGTTCCCAATGCAAAAGGAGTTCTATACTTGATGAGGTGAGACCGAATCGACTAGTCCAACAAAGAATTGGTGCACCCCATAGGCCGAGATACCCATCCTATCAAAGACAAGTAGAGGGGTTCATTCAACCGACATGGGCGCAAAGAAGGCAATGGGTGGCACATGACCCTCATACGTAAGAATGCAGTTTAAAGCGAGGGGCTTCCAGGGAAAACATGCAAGACCCTCTTTCGTCGTCGTAATTTGTGACTCGACTCTAGCATACACATCTTTCCGTATCTTTAATGATGTCTTGCAAACTCATTCTTCCTGTGGATGCTAAATAGGTTCTATCATCTGTGTTAATGCAGACAATCGAAGGACAAAGAAAGCCAGCAGAGGAAGACCAAGAGAGCTGCCAATTCAACCTCTCCAGGAGATGAAGAAATACAAGATGATGATAGTAACGCCCATACCAACGTACTTGATCCACGTATCCACTTGGTTCCGTCTTTCAATCAGCCACAACACAGAGTTTGAGAGCCCTACCGTGTTCAGCACCGAGGAAAAAATAGGAGAGTGATACAAGTCACAATCCAAAGCATGCATATCACAGCCCAAGCCATGACATTTATAGAAGATGTTGTGAGGTTCAACAAAGTTCCAGGATCAATTTTACAAGTTGAGGACACTATAGAAGTCATGGTTCTAAACCGTGTCATTTACTGAAGAACTCGTGACTTTTGACAGTTGATTGCACATGTCATGGTTGCAACCGTGACATGGGCAACACAACTGTGACTTGTGCACCTAATGCGATCCATTTCTGGTCGACGTCACTACTGTGATATGACGTGAAACCTTGGATAAAGGAAGAGAGACATGGCCAAGGGAGGGAGTGAGAGAGTAAGATTAGGGTTGGTAATTTTTGTTTAGTAATTGCTTAATGAGTAATCCCACTAACTATAGAATATGTATCCGGACTAATCCCCCTTCCATACCCAACTAATGTAACTTAAAAAATTACTCTATAATTATTCCCAAAACTCCAAATAACCCTTAAACGTCTCAAATCATGAATAACGATACATAAATTCAGATTATAAAGAAATAGCAAATATTTTGTTTCTAACATCTCTGCCTCCTTTAGAACAACCTTGTCCTCAAGGTTGAAGCTTCTCCTCCCGATCTTTCTTCCTTGCCTCTTTCGCCTCGTCCTCTGCCTCATCCTCCTATTGCCCCACTAGCATCATCAAGTCAGGCTTCGTGCACTAGTGTACAAAGTTGAACTTCTCATTGCAGTTGAAGCACTTTCCCTTTCTTCTCTTCTGCTCGATTTCTGTGGGACTTAGCTTAAAAAACCCCTTTGGTGGAGCCCTAGGCCCCAGTCAAACCACTACTGACGCCGCTACAGTAGTGGTTCCCACGCCAGTACTAGTTCTGCTGGTTGTACCGATCCCACCACTGACCTGCCCCTTGCTACTTCCTCCCCCACTAGGCCTCTCGTAGCGGCCTATGGTGCTCATCTAGCTCGCAATCTCTTCCTCCTTGCGCCATGCAAGTGTAAAGGCAGTCCTCAAGGAATCAGGTTAAAATAATTAATTGCAACAACTATCTCGGGTCGGAGACCCGCCATACACAGTTCCACCAGCTCCTCCTCTGGTACGCCTTTGCATTGATTGCCGAACTTGAAGAACTCTGCTCTGTAATCCACCACGGTCTCGATCTGTTGTTGCTTTACCACCTCTTTGACTTACCAAACTTATACTGGAGTTCCTCCTGAAACGTGGGTTAGGTGATCAAGGTCTGTGCCTCCCCATACGATCGCTTTAACTACTCCCACCACTGTAGAGCGTCACCTTCTAAGCAAAAGGATGCCAGATGCTCCTTTCGTTTGGTTCTAGAATCATCTATAAGGTGCATACAACCATAGGCCTGCATCCTCCTGACCATTGAATTCTGAAAACTCAATGGTTGGGGGTTTGGCCCAAAATACAAGCTCATCATCTGTATCATAACCAAGAGGATACCCGCGATGCCTGGAGTTCCACCATGATAGTCACGCGGAAATTGAGTACGTAAGGGATGAGTACGTAAGGTAGCTATTGATAATGGGTAATTGGAAGAGTATTATCATTTCCAAAGGAGACTTCGTCGGGGCCATGGTACTCGGAGTGGAGGGCCATGTTATTGAGGTCGGAGGTGAGGTGATAATTGGATCCGGAATTGAGAAGCCAATCTTGTGGGATTGGTGAGGCAGCAAGGTAGGCAGATGATGTAGGCCAGGTCGAGCATGATAAGGGTGGGGGTACTAACGAGCTAGATGTCAAAATCTATGACAAGTGAAACACTTTAGTGGGCTGTTTCCATAAACAGAAGGCAAATACCTGGGGGCAGAGTAGTGGCCCAAGGAGGGCGTGACTGGGCGAAGGGAAGGGCCCATAGGAGGTAGATGATGATAGGCGATCCCCTCTGCCGCCGCGACCTCCACCATGTCCGCCACGACCATGGCCGCCACGATGCCGGTGTTGCTGTAATTGCTCGACGGGGGAGCGCGTTGAAGAGGAGTCCGTGAAACTCGTCGAAAGAGAGAGGCTCTGGTCTGCCTTCAATTTTGCGAATGAACGTGAGGAAGGATTCATCCAGTCTTTTGAGGCAATAGGAGACAACATCGTCGTCAGATATGGGGTAATTGAGAGCAGCTGATCGGTCAGTGATATCCTTTGCGCGGGCAAGGTACCTGTCAATATAATCAGAACCACAAATGAGAGAATCAAATTGATCCTTGAGGTTGCGGATGACATGACGATTTGCAACACCATTGGTAGTGGCGAGACGGGTCCAGGCATCGAGTGTGGAATTGCAGCCCACCAGTTTGCAGAGAACATCGTTGTTCAAAGAGGAAACAATCCAAGAGAGGACGAGTTGATCTCGTTTGTACCATGCAGTGTAGGCTAGATTGGGAACACTAGCGAGGAGGAGCAGGGGAGGAGCCGCCGATGAATTGAGCAAGGTCGAAACTGTTGAGAAGGGGAAGAAACTGAACTTTCCATAGAAGGTGATTAGTTGGGGTCAACTTGACGGCGATTGGTGGAGGAGCAGGAGTGTTGCCAACGGAAAGAACAAGAGAAGAAAGGGAGTCCGAGGCAGGCAGAGGTGCACGTTGAGAAGAACTCATGAGAGAGAGGAGACAAAAAATGGAGCATAGAAGAAGAGGGGGTTGATTTGTCGTTAGGATTTGGCCAAATTCACTTGTGTAGCCAAAACTTTGACGATTTTGCCAAATATAGCCACTTTTGGGGAAATACCAATAATAGTCAGAATTTTGAAAGTTTGATGACAATAATAGCCATTTCCGTTACATAATTTAACGGCGTCAATGACACCGTTAGTCAATTTAACGGAATGCTTACTTGGATGCCAACTCACCCTCTCTTTCTTTTCCTCCTCAGCATTCACTAACAGATGGACTACACGTCATTACAAAAATAAAAATGAAAAAGTCATCAAAATATTCTATGTGGAAATGTTTTATCTTTTTATTATTAATAATTATATAAATAAACACAAAAAAGGAAATGCTTCATCTTCTCCGATCTCTCCTACTCCCCTTCTTCATCTTCTCCAATCCACTCCCTGCCCCCAATTTTTCGAGAATCAAATCCAGTATCTCCCCTGATCTCTTCTGCCTGGTCTGATTTTCCACCTCCGTTCTCAATTTGTGAATAATGAAATCAAAGTAAAAAAACAAATAAAACAAAAACTAAAAACAAGCATCGGTGCTGGTCATCGAGATGCTTCAGCTTCCTCATCCGCCACCGCCGCAAAGATTGATTAACTATATTGTCTTCCTCTCCCCCTCGTCCATCACCAATCGCCATCGAAAAATCCCTCCGTCAAAAAATCCAACTAAAAAACTAGAAACAATCGCAATTACGGATATGGAAATGGAAAACAGAACCCAGAACTCTCGTCTTCCTCTTCCAACGCTTCGGACATTGAAGACTAGATCTGGCCGCGCCGCATTGACTGTGCTATTTCAGAAGGACAATCCACTCCTTCTCCCTAACTCGATTTCTGTTTTTAGCTTCAAAGGAGGAGGATGCAATGAGATTTGGTCTGGATACAAATCTAATTAGCGACCCGGCGGCGAGATTTGGTATGAATACAGATCCAACTAGTGGACCGCCGGCCAGATCCGGTCTCAAGGCTAGAGTAGGTGCCGTTGGCAGAGAGATTTTGACGGCGACACGAGACCCTGAACCGGCAGTGTCCCAGAACCGGCAGCAACGGAGAATCGAAAGAAAATCGAGCTCCGTAAGACATTGGAGGAGAATCGAGCGCCAGATCGAGGCTCTCTACTGTCGGCACCGCCATTGGGGTCGACGACTTCACTTTTGCCGGCGAGAGGGTCGCCACCACCAACCGTCGTGGAAAGCCTCTCGAAGAACAACATCTCCGCGAATCAAACCCGGAGTTAATTGGGTTGGGGGTTGTACAGTCGGAGGGAAGACTCCGCGACATAGTTGGCTCGACGACGATGTTGTTGAGAGAGCGAGAAGCACTAATAGAGCTTTCAAAATGGTGGTGGTGTCGACGACGGAAGTTGGGTAGGTTTAAAATGGTGGTGGTGGACTGGTGGTATGATGACGGAACCTGGGTAGGGATTAATGGGTTTAGGGATTGATTCTTATTTTGGTTAGGGAAGATTTTGAGGGTTGCAGAAGAGGAAGTTTCTGGAGTTCAGGGAATTATTGATGAAGGGGAGGTGATAAGGCGGTGCTGAAGATATTTTTGGTTTTATATTTTTTATGATTTTTTTTATTTAATTTGATTAAAATATAAATATAAATTTTGCTTATTTTCCACCTAATATTATTTTCAAATAAAATATGCCATGTCAATTGCTGCTGTTAGTCCAGTCAGCACGTTAACTAACGCCGTCAAACAATTGGACGGAAGTGACTATTTTTGGTATTTCGCCAAAAGTGGCTATATTTGGCAAAACCGTCAAAGTTTTGGCTACACAAGTGTATTTGGCCTTAGGATTTTGACAGTTCTAATATCATGAAATCTCAGGTGATTCCCTGAGTTGATTGTTATTATCATTCACTACTATATACATTCATGATGGTGCTGAGGCTAACCATCTGGAGAGATTACAAGGGAGGTGGAAGCAACAAAGGTGGAACTAAGGGGTCGTTTGCTTCAAGGATTTGGTACATGGATTTGGTACAAAAAAACCAACTATCAAGGATTTAGGTACAATCCGTTGTTTGCTTGCACCTTTTTTGGAGACCAAATCCATGGGGCCCACGGATTTTAATGGTCCAAATCCGTGGACCCCACGGACTTATAAATCCCACATGTTGATGTGGGATTTGGAATATGGCATAAATCCTTGATGAGATTTTACCCATATACCCTCATGCACTTTTAATATTCCAAGGTTGCCCTCAAATTTAACTATTATACATTATAATTAACAATAAATGAATAATATAAACGTTCAATTAATGTGCAAACATGAGTTATATTTTTTATATCATTTCTTGTGTTCTAGTTTTCTTTGACCTTTTCATGGAACGTGTAATTCTTTGTTCTCCCGATTCTAATATATGTTGTTATATGTCACTTTTGAAAAGGAGGACAAAGAATTGGTAATTGATTATGTTACGTTAAAAGTTAAAACGAAATTTTCTCGTTTATTATTATTGTCCATGTGGCAACATTATGCTTATTAGTATGTATTGTCCTTGTTTTGTGTACATATCATAAACATGTCAAACATATAGAAAATGATAGTAAGATAATTTTGAAGTTTTGTCCTTGTTTTGTGTACATATCATAAACATGTCAAACGTATAGAAAAGGGCGGTAATGTAATTTTTGAATTCAAGTAGTAAATCCCACACCTTTAAATTCATGATAAAAACATCCCAACAAACAAAAGATTGTTACAAATCCATGATGCCTCAAATCCTTGATAAATCCTTGGGTTTTTTAAATTACAAAACCCTCATTTTTAAATTCATGAAGCAAACGACCCCTAAAAAGGGTCATGACAACAAAAGTGGAACAAAACACCGAAAGTAGAGGGAAACATGTAGTTGGCTTATCACCCCCGACATCGCTGCAGTTGCTGCTAATGTCACCACTGAGGCGACGACAGAGAAAGAGAAGAATAACGGCGAGGCAGAGGGCAAAGAAGAATAAAAAGAGGTCAAAATTCATGTTTAATTTCCTGGGTTTTCAGTTGGGGGATTTATTAGACTCAAATCCCTCATCCAATGGACCCCTCAATCAATTCTAATGCAGAAGCAGTTTTTTCAGACCCTTGCCTGTGGAAAGCTAAACGTCTCTACGCAGTCTTCGGCAAGTGAAACTTCCTCAGTTGTTGTTCTCTCTTTCCATGAGCTCGTCAACTAGGAAAGATCATCTGTATTCAATTATCCAAGGAAAAAGTTAGTCCCCTCCTACCTGAAAGAGTGCGGCCTACCACCAGGGGAAAAGATAAACTGAAGAGACAACAAAGAGATGTTTTCCCCTGTAGCAACAGATCATAGAGGCGAACAAGCTCTTCTGGCTTGGTAACTTTCTCATTTTTGTCATCACGGCGCTTGGCAAGTTTACTCTTAGCAATAACTAACAGACGGCTATACTCTGTGGTTCTCAGTACTAATACAGGCTACAGCTGTGACAGCATCGTGAAGACCACTTCAGTTATCTTTCACAGTCGGCCTTTCCTGCACTAGTCTGGAACATACAGTATAGGAATCAGTATGAATGAGGCTGGAAATGATAATTAATGATAAGTGTAACAAATTGCACTTATGGACAGTGACAAATAAACTATGAATAGTTCCGGAATAAATGTGGTAGAATGCAAAAATCACATACCACATCACTCCAAATATAACCCCTATTCTCATGGTATGAAGTAAAAATGCCATCGAAGACTGCTAGCCTTTTGTCCACTGGAAGTGAATCTGTAGCTGGACCATGCAAATTCTTCTCTAGCTCTTGAGCTGAAAAATCATCAATAACAAGGGACAAGGGAACCCTTGAGGCCTGGACCATCGCAGTACACTAAATGATGGAAAAGTAGACTGCCACTATATACAACAATATAACCATGTGAACTGATACGTTCCATTGACTAGTACACAGAGAAAAATGAATGCTCTCATGAAAAAGAATTCCAGGAACTGCATCCTACAGGGCATCAATTCTAGTCAAGAGCTCAGACTGAGTTCTCATTCTTAGAGAATGACAATACTAGTGAACTTAGTTCAACAAGCACAGGTACAGCAATAATATTTATATCAGACAGAATGCAAGGTGCTAAGACTTACCCAAGTTACAGGGGATGCACTAACTTATTTCAGTCGACAAACTTAGAGACACAGTGTAAGCCGCAATAGATAAAAATAAGTCATATGACCATTGACATTGAACAGTTCATTACTAATACCCACCTCTAGCTACGGCTTGAAGAGATTCAGAGCAGAGCCTTCCATCTCACCAATTGTAAAAGATCAGAGCTTTCAGATTTGACTCTAAATACCGGATGTTGAGGTTCCAGCTCCTCCACATGTGCTCCCTGCTGCCAGAAGATAGGCTCACGCCTGCTAAGCAACTCCCAACTCTCCTGGCTTTGAATCATCAACCTTGCCATCACAGGAAGTGCTAACTTGGTCTGGATTGATAATGTCCTCAAGCAGTGTGGAATTCTCAACCCATTTCAACCTAACAACGTCATCTAAAAAGCTCTTTGCTTCCTCTACCTTTCCTGCTCTGTAAAGACCATGGATGAGAGACCTACAGGTGCCAGTGCTAAGCCTAGATCCTCCAGTGTTGGCTTCATCAAGCAACTTAAAGTCTTTAAGGAAACCATTTGCTTCACATATGGAATCAATCAGCAAAACATATATGTTTTTACATACTTTTGCACCCTTAAGTGTCATCTGATCTATCAACTTCAAAGCCTTCAAGAGGTTACATTCTTTCAAGCAAGTATCAATAATCAGATTCCATAGGACCTCATCAGGCTCAATGTTTTTGGCAACCATCTCATCAAAGACAACAAACATTGCTTCTCTTCTCCCTGCACTCGCATAACCGTGTAAGAGTGTGGTGTATGTTAAAATATTTGGCAACAGATTCTTGTTTTGCATCTCCAGAAACAGTTGTTCTGCCTGTTTCATCATTCCACTCTTGCAATGATAATCAATCAGAATAGTATATGTCACTTCATTTGGCACAATCTTCTTACATGCTGTATCCTCCAACAGTTGGTTAGCTTCGCTCAGCATTCCTAACTTGCAGAAGCCGTCAACCAGAGCATTCAAAGCATGTGTAGAGTGAACTCCCTTATGCACCATTTCTAAGAACAAAGATAGAGCTTTCTCCATGTTTCCGGCTTTGCAGCAGCCATCAATCACAGCACAATAAACATAGCTATCAGGATGAACCCCTTCAGCTGGCATCTGCTCCAAAAGCTGAAATGCTTTATTTAAACTCCCAGATTTGCAGTATCCATCAATCATTGTAGCATAAGTAACACTATTGCGAAACAGACCCTTCTTTTGAATTTCATCGAAGAGTTCCCTAGCTTTGTCAACTTCCCCGGCCTTGCAAAGTCCACTTACTAGTGCATTGTAAGTTACAATATTTGGACTAACATCTCTTTGACACATCTCATCATGGAGCTCGAGAGCCTTTTCTATATCATGTTGCTTACAGAAGCCAGAAATAAGAGAGTTGTAAGAAAAAACATCAGGTTCCAACTTTCTTTCAGTCAATTCAGAAAAAACTTGCATTGCTTCTTCAAGTTTCCCGTATGTAGAAAGACCTTGGATGAACACACTGTAAGTTTGATTGTCAGGTAATATCCCTTTCTCGAGCATAGATCTAAAAGTTGAGAAGGCTTGTGCAGTGTCACCATCCTTGCAATGGCCGTTAATGAGGGCAGTATATACAACGTCATTAGGTTCTATACCATAACGAAGCATCTCTGCAAAACACTTTTGTGCAGCATGTGTTTCCCCTGCTCTGCAGTGTGCATGGATGATAGATCCGTAAGTATATATATTTGACTTTATTCCCCTCTCGATCATATCGACCAAGTAAATCTTAGCTTCATCAATCTTATTGGCCTTGCAAAGGCCAATTATCACCATATTATAGCAGAAGAGGTCCGGTGCTGGTCCTTTCTGCTTCATCACCTTGAAAATTTCTATAGCCTCCTGAGATCTTCCTTTCTGAACATTACCTTTGATCAGAGTTGAGTAGAACATAAGATTTGGTTTGACACCCCAAGAAATCATTTCCTCGAACAATTTTGTGGCTCCTGTTAGATCTCCAATGTGGCAAAGGCCATTCATGATCAAACCACATGTGTAAGATGTGGGAATCAAATTCCTCTTCTTCATCTCAACCAGTAAATCACAAGCTTTTACTACATTCTGCAGCTTGCAGTACCCATCAACTAGAAAACCGTAAGTATGTGCATTTGGTTTGAGGCCAACTGCGAGCATTTCACTGAAAAGGGTTTCTGCCTTCTCCATCTCCCCAGCTCTACACATTCCACTGAGGAGCATATTATATGTCAAAAAGTTTGGCCGAATTCCTCGAGTACACATGTCCTGTTTCAATTGAATAGCTTCTCCCAGTTTACCTTCTTTGGTTAGCCCGTCAATCAATGCGGTGTAACAAATATGGTCAGGCTTTAAACCCAAGCTATACATCCCCTCTAACACCAATGCTGCCTCAGCTGATCTCTTCAGTTTACAGTACCCATCAATAAGACTAGTGAAAGTGTAGCTGTCTGGAACCAAACCCTTATTAGCCATTTTCTGCTTTAACTCTAAAGCTTCATCAAAATTCCCCGCTTTACACAACCCACCAATGATCACATTATAAGTAACCACATTAGGATTGCAACCCTTCTCTTCCATTTCTGAGAGCAAACGTCTGCCTTCTTTAACATTCCCTTCTCTACAATGTGCATTGATCACATTTGTGTAAGTGTAAACATCAGGCGCTACTTTAGCATCTAACATCCCCTCGTAAACTTTCCAAAACAAATTTAATTTATTAAATTTAAGCAAATCCTTCAGAAGCGTGTTGCAGCACATCAAATCAACTACAAAACCATTGCCTATTGCACCTAAGAAAACATCAACAGCTTGATCCAACAACCCCCTTTTCTTATAAGCATTGATCAGGATCCCAAAAACCACACAGTCCTTCCCACCAGACTCCCTGCTGCTCACAACAATCGCATCCAAAATCTCCAGATGCGACTTCCCTGTTTCCAACATATTATCTAAAACCCCATTGGCAGGACCCAAAAGCCGAGCGTCGCAGAGAGTCAACGCGAGAATCGAAAATGATGAGAGATTTCGAGGGATACCTAGGTGATAATGTGTCCAATTGAAGAAACCTAGTAAGCGTAAAGGGTCTTTCACTGGGTTCTGTCTGATAACGGAGTGGACCAACTCCGCGTTCAGCTTCGGCCGGATTGGCGACGACCAGATGAGGTGCTGCCAGTTATGCTGCTCGAGAAAAGTGGCAATCTCCGTCACCATGGTGCTATTTTCAAGCTGCTGGCCGGCGGCGGTGGAGCTGAAAGACTGCGTTTTGAGGCGAGCGGTTATGGCGTTTCCGTTACACTTCTTCAAGAATTGGAGGCTCGGGTGACAAATAACGCCCATATTTGGCCGGCAACGGGGTGATAATAAGAACACAGTCCCCGCCTTACAGTGGATGTAATTTTTCTTTTTGATCCAATTGGGAAGCTTGACCATCAATGGCTGAAGAGCCGCGATGCCTCCCAACGGCTCTCCTCCATTTAGTCGGGCGTCCATTTGCATCCGGTGTAGCAGACGGTAGTGACGAAGGTGGACGGATCGCAAGAAGAGAGCGGCGGCACTGATGGACATCGCGATTCGCGACTCCCGTTCCCTTTCTCACCTTCCGCTTCGTGCAGAAAGAATATGAACTGAGAGAGTGAGTCAGTGAGAACTATGACTTGTGGGAAGTTTGGGTGAAGTGCTGCGCTTTAAAAATAACTGAATTGCTATTCTTCACTCTAAAATTCAAAAAAAATTGCCCTAAAATACACTTAATTGACACATTTATCCTTAAGATCAATTCTAACCTAAATCGGGGAAAATGTCGCCTCCGGCAACCCAAGTATTGCTCTCGTTCGGTCCCTGCTGCCAACAAAGGAGGATGAATAAGAAGGTCATTAGTTGCCGCTGGAGTCGCTCTCCGCCGCTGCTGATATTTGTCGTTGCTGTCGACCAGGAGGAGGGAGGAGGGCGAAGAAGAAGGAAGGAGAGAGCGATTTATCCAAAACAGAGAATGATGCAGTTGGGAACGTGGAAGTGGAGTCGGGGAAACTTTGTCGAAAAATTTAGCGAAGTGATGGCTTGGGATTCCCAGGCATTGACGAGAGAATCGGTCAATGAATAAGAGATATTGAGAGAATCAATTATGCACAATTAAGATGGGAATTGTAGTTGGTTAAGGAAATAACAAGGAATGGAGGTCGGAGCAGATGTCTCGACAAGAAGAGGGCAACCAAAGAGAGAAATAGCTCAGGGAAGTCTTGGCTTTGGTGAAATTGAACTCAGGGCCAACTATTTCTAAATGGGTTTATTCACCTGCACGGATCGCCGCCTGAAGGAAGAAAAAGACGCAGCACAACAGAGGATTGTATTTTTTGTGTTTTTTTTTGTTGGTCGGCGTCGGACAGGTTGAAATCCCGTCGCCGGCGAGCTGGGACAGGTACCTGACCAGCTGACCTGTCGCTTGCAGTCGCTGATGGATTATGAAACAAAACTTAAACAACGGACATTAGAGTCATTTTAACAAAAGTTAGGGCGACAAATAAGGTATTTTAGGGCGACGAATAGCAATGCCCCTAAATAAAGCACAGCTAAATTACAGTCTATATTACACGATTGGTCACTTAGTTTATCAATCTTTTTCACATTTCCATTTGAAATTTTTTCTTTTCTCACTAGTCATTGACTTTACACTTTCTTTTATCATTGGCCACTCGTCGTCAAACTCTGTTAAATTTGTTTTAAGTAGCAATCAACTATAATCTTTGACTGTTAAGTTTGTTTCTTCTCTGCCCTCACATGTCTCCTTCATTACCACCTCCCGTCGCCAATCTGGGTATCAGCTGATTTTTGTAAGCTTTTACCAAATTCGTAGCTGAAGTGCTTTCCTGCTCTTGAAACCTTAAGTTAAATCCAGTACATAACAGATACGTTGAATCAAAAGAAATATAATTCCAATCAAACATCAATAGGTCTAAGATAATAAATCTCACGGGAAGTTAAGTATAGCGAAGCAAACAGTTATGGAACTCTAAATTACAGAAGGCAAAGATCATAATCAAAGACAAAATAAAAAATCTATCAACGACCGGGTGTAGTATAGTGGAAGCAAGTAATAAAATTATCAAACGCTAGGGTCTGTAGATGTACCATTACTTTACTTACCTCAAGTTCGTTATTTAGCCAAACAAGAATAATGATTAAGAAACTAAACTAACCTAGCTACTCTTAACTAATTGCTAGCTGGAGCTGACTTAGACATGAATCCCCCTAATTAATTCATTCGATTGATATTGAGTACTACCCTATATTGATTGACTCGATACTTCTACCGTGGGGAATTCTAGACAAGATTGGACTCCCTATTCGAGTTTTCCAACCCCGCTCAATTGCTTTACCCGGAAAGGGACCATAAAGTCGACCTAGGCAATTGAGGAGTTCACAACCAACTCCCATGATTGGACAAAACCCAATGCGACACTATGGGTCAAATCAAACTCATACAAAGACTCATAATAAAGGGTTGAAGGTGCTCTGTTGAACATAGGGAGATATTCTCTCTCCTAGGCCAAAGCAAAATTGACATGTAGTGGGATCAAAACTCATGTAATTCATCATAAACATCAATCAAATAGATAATATGAGTAATATATCATGGGATTTGTCACATACATCAATAATCAATCTAAATTCTAGAACTAGGGTTCATAAACCTAAGTGAAGGAGAGCTAATTCATAGTGAGGAGAGAGATTACAATACTAAACTTGAGATCTCCATTATTCATCTTTTAGGCTTGATTTCTTTGCTCCAATCTCAATCCAAAGCCTCAAATCCAGCCCCAAGATCACTCAATCTCTCTAAAAACCCCTTTGGGTGTTTTAAGCTATAAACCAAATTCTCCTCAAGCTCTCCCTAACTCTCCATTTTTCTCCTCGGTGCTGCAACCTTTTTATAGCAAAGCAATGTGAAGTTCACAGTCTCCTGTCACGTGCATGAACTTTGCATCGAAAGTGTGATGTCTACTAGATGCGCGTCGTTTTCACTAATGAAGTTCACAGTCTAGGTGAAATCAATACGACCCCAGACCATGAAATCTACAATTGCCCGCAAGACGTCTCCGCCTTCCTAGGATCTTGCAATATTCACAATTTTGGTGAAATGTTCACGCCCTGGCCGTGAAGAAATGCTCTGAACCGTGAAGCATGACAGTTTTCACCACTTGGTCTCATTCTTGCCCCCATTCGTCCCGAAAATCATTCCTCAACTTTCCCCATGTACCAGGACCTAAAATATTACAAAAGAACAACAACCTAGCATAAAATAGGTCGAGGAATGACGATCACAAAGTCAAAAAAATCAAGTTATGAAGGGTAAAACATGTACAATTAAGCCTGAACCAAACTGGCAAACTCCCCCCACTCTTAACCGTTTGTTTGTAACCAAGCAAACCTAACTCAAACTAGTCCAACCTGCAAGACTCTCACAATTGTATGCATTATAGATCTTTGGTAGAGGGTCAAGTAGAAACTTTCGATGTCAACCAGAGACAAGAAATCTCACCCCCAACTCGATGTGAAAATACAAACTCGAATCGGGAAATTGTCGACTAAAGAGGTCTAGACACGTCACATGTGCATGAGAGGAATCTAAAAAATGGGTTAAAAGTAATGGACTCAATGGAGGTGCTCCTACTTTAAAGCATTCAAACTTCAAGACTCAACTTAACATTGCCAAACATGGCATCAGACCTATAGTTTTGAAAAACAAGGGCTCAATCTCATGGCAAGAGCGAAAGCGGCATTCACTTCCCTTTTTAGGCCTTCAAGCACTCACATTCACAACATTCATTCACACACACAAGCATAATGGAAACACCTCCCCCCCCCCCCCCCCCCCTCACACATAAACACTCTTAAGCACGCCATTTTCCTCAATGGAGGAAAGATAAGGAGGGTAGAACGAAGTTACTGGATCAAGTGTGAATGATAGTGGACGAGACAAGTGGACGGGTGAGATACGAAAGAGCAAGCCAAAATCCAAAACACAGCAAGCCCACGAAGTTCAAGTTATTGACTTGGAAACCAAACCAAACTGAAAGAAATTGCAAACCGGAGTGGTTGAGTTGCCTCTCAATAAGAATTTCTTTCGCGTCATGAGTCGGGCGGTAATGCTCAAATTTCGGTCCACCCCAAACCTCCTTGAAGTTGAGGTTCACATGGTGATGTGGAGTCTCAAGTCCCGAGCATGGGATGCTTCAAATGATTTAAATGGAGCGTGGGCTTGGTGTGAATGAAGTCGCCACCCATGAGACATCTTCTTCTTTTCTTCTTCTCTCTTCTCTTTGCCCCATACCATGTAGGATATCATGGATTGATCACCCTTGCATCCACCAGAAGGGATTCATGATGGTTCGACCTTGGCTTGGAAAAGAGCCAAAAAGGGTCCTTCGCCAAAAGTGCATCAAGGTATGGTAGAAAGTTTTGGTAGCACATGTAACTTGTGGAAGCTTCATCCACCCCAACATCGTCCTCATTTTAGATACCATTTGCATCTTCAACCTTCCTTCTTCGATCTAAACTTTGTTCCTCTTGATGTGATGATTCTGACTGTGCCCAACACGAACTCTGGCCAGTGATGATGGACAGAAGAACCCCGCCCAGAAAGGGAAAATCCCAACCGGGAATAAGGAAGAAATGATAAGGAATTTGGAACTGGAGGACTCCCGACCAAGAAGGATGCATTCCTCGATCGGGGAACAAAAGATGCGCGACCGGGGAATACTCTCTAACGAGTGAAAATTGTCACTTTCAAATTATGAATCTTTTCTTTTTTGTCTTGTAATTAGTTTTTGTTTCCCTGGACTATATAAAGGCTTAAACTCGAGTTTTACAAGAGATTAGTTATGTTCAATTGAATTTTACCCTAGTTCATCATGATGTTGGCTTGTGAATTTTGCTCTTGTCATTGGTGGATTCCAATCGTGTTGAGTGTGTCTCTGTATCAATCAAACATCCATCTTGATTATGGTCGAACTTCTATCCTATATTGATATAGCCTTCTCCCAGGTGTGAGATTGTACTTCAATTCTGTTTTATCCTTAATCCTAACCCTTGTTCTTGGTTGTGCGACTTCGATAACTACGCACACCGGTTCCGTGCTCGTATCAAGTGGTATCAAAGCTCCGGTTCAAATAAGTGGCAAGGAGAAGAAGATAACAAGCTTTCTTCAAGATCGGGAGTTGGAGCAACAAGGTAACTTATTCTACACTCGTTGCTTGGTCCAAGAGAAATTATGTTTTATGGTCGTTGATGTAGAGATCAAATCCAATTTGATAATATCAAGGGCAATAGGTAAGTTAGGCATAACCACACAATGACATCCTAGTCCTTTCTTTATGCAATTGTATGTGGAAAAGACCTTTGTTTTTGTGACTGAACAAGTGTTTTTGGAGTTCAAAATCAGGGTCTATGTGGATCAGATTCATTGTGATGTTGTGCATATGAAGCTTATTCATGTGGTTCTTGGTAAACCATGGCACAATGAATTCCAAGCACGACAAAACAACACCACCAACAACATCATCTTAAGGCATCAATGAAAGAATTTGCCTTGAAGCCATTATCATTAGAAGAGGTTGTTGAAGATATGAGGCAATTAAAACGAGCCTATGAGGAGGAGCATAAGGCCCTGCAGTAAAGAAATCATCGACAACAACAATTGTCTAAGAAACAACAACCCTAGATTTTCCGGCGTATGAATTGTCCGCCAAGGAAAAGGTAAAT